GCCGATATACTATGAACATATCTATTGCGTATCTTCCGAGGCGATCGATAAAGAGCGACTGGAAGATTCATCCGGAGACAATGACCCTTCCGTGTTCGTCATTTTTGAAAAGTTTGTCGTTGCATTTCTTTGTTCCCTGTCGATCGAAAACTTTGAGGCTCTTTTTAGACTTTCCCAGAATCAATATTCTTCCCCGATTGTGCAAGTAAGCTTTTCCATTGTTTATTGCCCATTAGATGTTTCTGATCATGGAGAAGGCATTTCTGTACAAACTAGTGCCAAAAAAGCTGTCCATTTTAAGGAAAATGGCAGACCTACTTGATGATGGCAAATCAAGCTGGGAAAATTTCAAACTATTTTCCTCTGATAGGATCTCTTCGCGAGTCATGGAGACATTCATTTACGCCTCAAAAAAATCGATGCTACGGCCGCTTTTAAGTCTTTTTATGGTCCCAAATGTTGGGTTTCTTTTGAAAAATGATACGGCCAATTATGTACTTCAAGCTTTTTTCACACATTGTACATCCAAATCGCTTTCCTTGGATCTTTTTAATGCCATTTCCTCGCAGCTGTTGCAAAAGGGACTGGAGCCTAGAAGAATCGGGCTTCTTTACAAAATCGTTAAATCCGAGCTCATTCCAACATCCTTAACACATCCATTTCTCGTAAATTCGATAAAAAATTCCTTCCGATTGAATCCCGATGGTGCAGATAATTGTGCCTTGGCGCTTTTGTCATCAAATGTGCCCACCACCAGAAGGGGGCCATCTAGACATTTTGAAGCCAAGGAATTCCATCCCATTGGCTGTGCTATTCTGATCCATTTGTTTTCTTCACACCCTACCACGGATTCACAAATTTTACTTGATCAGTTTATCGAAATTCCGATAAGCATTCTATTTAGATTGGGAATGGATGCCAGTGGGTCCAGAGTGCTGGAGACAGTCTTTTCGTCGCCAGTCATTGGCAAGAAAAAAAGCGAACGCCTATTTAAAAAATTGTTTGCAGCCTCTCTGGCAGAAACAGAGCAATGTTCGATGGCCAAATGGGCAGAAAACACATTTGGATCTAGGGTTGTCGAAGCAATCTTCCTTTCGGTTCCACTGGATCAGAAGCTTATTTTGGCTCAATATTTGTCTGATTACATCAAAGAACTGCGAAAGCCTCGATCAAAGGGCCAATATGTAATTAAAAGCTGCATGCTTGACGAGTTTATTCTTTCCAAATCCAACTGGATCAAAATCCTGGCCGAGCGAAAAAAGAAGGCGTGCGCCTCAAATAAATTAACTTAATTAGTCCGGAATTAAAGGGGAGTCGATTTTCATTTCTGAGCAGAACTTCTAAATATTAAGAGTCGCCATTACCCTCCAAGAATCCATGGTGATGGAAAAGCAGTACTGTTGGTGCGCTTGTGATTCGGAAGAATGAGGTTCATTTTGGCTGGTGAAATCATACAGTTCTATTGGATGAAAGTAAGAAAAGTCACCTATAAAAAGCTGGTTTTCTTGCGCAAATACCCGCACCTTTCCCTCTTTGACAAGAAAGGAGACGTGGAATAGATTTTCAACCGACCTGCTGAAGGATTTTGGATGGATTATAAGCCGCCAAAACAGGACCTGGGTGGACTGATTAGCGGCCATCCAGGAATAAATTTCCTGTATTCGAGCCGCAGAGGCATCTTGCTCTGCATTCAATTCTCTTCGGGCTTTGATGGGATCGTCCTAAAAATTATACCGCACATGCGCAATACCAAGGTATCTGGCTGTGTGAGCGACGATAAAGGTTTTTGTGCTGTTCTTGTTCTTCTCGAAGAAGGTAGGGGTGTTGATGCGGGAACCGTAATGGGTCCGTTGGCAAAATCAATAAATGGTGCAGACTTGGATGCAATTTGGCACTTTAGGCCAAATAAAGACAACGAATCTGTAGATGTAATAAGAGAATCCAAGTGCTCAATCAATAGACCAATGCTTAATGGCGACTTATTGTCGTTGGAACAGACTTCCAATTTTTCCAGCGAGGCCAGACCAGCCTCTGCAGAAAGCTTTAAAAGGTGAGAGTCAAAAGTAGCATCATGGATGTTTCTAATTGAAGAGGAGAGCACCTGGTTGGCCTTTTCAATTAGCCCCCGCAAAGAGTTGGGAACATTCCCTTCTTCAGCACAATCTGAACTACTGGACATACTGGTGTCCTCAGAAAGGGACACTGAATGACTAGAACCAACAGGCTGAGATGCAATCCTTCTTTTTTCGTCTTTAATTGTTTTAAGCAAAAGGGAGTATGTGGCTCGAATATTTGCTCTTTGTTCGAATGATTGATCTGGATCATACGTAAGTGCATCTGTAGAGGCAGTTAAGAGGCGAGCATATTGAGATTGAATATCCCCATCTTCTTCGTCGCTACTTAGTCTGCGCGTAGCATCGGGGTCTTCTAAGGCGCTGTGGACATCGCAATTCCCCTCCATTGTATCGATTTTGTTCGTAAATTTTACATTTTGATTTTAACTCGAGCACTTGCACATACATCATTTTGCAATGGCTGCAGAAAAGTTATCAATGGCTTCGTCATCGCCTTGTAGCAAAACCAAAAAAATCGAGCTATACACGCCACAGTTTTATGCCAGTTGCGCCATCGGTGGCATGCTTAGTTGTGGGCTGACGCATCTACTTGTGACACCTCTTGATTTAGTCAAATGTCGCAGACAAGTAGCCGTTTTCTTCTGTTTACAATAGGTCAATCCCAAGATATACTCCTCCGTTCTTGATGGATGGACGCAAATTTACCGCTCCAGAGGCTTTCCTGCCCTTTTTGAGGGCTGGGGTCCTACTGCAATTGGCTATTCCTTCCAAGGGGCCTGCAAATTTGGATTTTACGAGTTTTTTAAGAAAGAATTCACCGATGCCGTCGGCGAAGATGTCGCATTTAAATACAGAACCGGTCTCTACTTGGCGGCATCTGCATCAGCTGAAGTCATTGCCGACGTTGCTCTGTGCCCATGGGAGGCAATAAAGGTCCGTATGCAAACAAGCGCCACACCATATGCATCCGGTGTACGTTCTGCTGGAGCGAAGCTCCTAGCAAGCGAGGGTATTTCCAGCCTTTACAAAGGGCTTGCGCCACTTTGGATGCGGCAAGTGCCCTATACGATGATGAAGTTTGCATGTTTCGAGACAACGGTGGAGGCGATTTATCGATACGTTCTCTCTGCCAAGCCAAAGCATGAATACAACAAGCTACAACAGCTTGGTGCTACTTTTGCGGCCGGATATTGGGCCGGAATATTTTGTGCCGTCGTTTCGCATCCCGCTGATACCGTTGTCTCTAAGCTCAACCAATCGAACTCTGGTGGAGCTGCAAAGGTTCTTCAGGACCTCGGCTTCCGTGGAGTTTGGCGTGGACTGGGACCAAGAATTGTTATGGTTGGAACGCTTACCGCGTTGCAATGGTTTATTTATGACACCTTTAAAGTGTACATTGGGCTGCCTACGAGTGGGGCTGCGCCCGCAGCTCCTGCTAGCTTGAAAAGGGAATGAGTTTATTAAACCTGCCATCATTAACGTTTATTGGGTTAAAGGTGCCTCACTTTTGGCGCATCAAATTAAGCGCACTACCCGCTTTAAACCATCTGATTTGGCCCTCATTCATGGTATGTTTTACATAAAATTCAAAAGATTCTCCACTCTGCTTGTGTACAACGACAGTTAAATCCTAGAAATTATGAAGGCGTTGCGAATTACATTGTCCGGATGAAGATTTCTTTCAATGTCTAGAATGGAAATACGATCATTGGGGTCGATGCGCATGTAATCGCGAGGATCGGCAAATGTCAATGGAAGCACACCCTGCTTTTTCAAGTTGGTCTCGTGAATTCGAGCAAAACTCTTGACAATGATAGCAGCGCCACCAAGATGTCTTACTTCAAGTGCGGCATGTTCTCTGGATGAACCTTCGCCATAATTTTCTTCACCAATCACAACCCACGGCGTTTCTAGAGATTACGGAAAAAAGCTACTCTGGGCTTTATAATATCTTGCCGTGGCAGGAACTGGTCCGTATTCCCCGGTAAATTGATTCTGAACCAAGTTAGCTTTCAGATTTTCGGCATTGATTGCTCCAATCAATAGGTTGTTGGAAATGTTGCCCAAATGCCCGCGATATTTCAACCAAGGCCCAGCCATACTGAAAATAAGCAAAAATCACGCTGCCTACCTAATGTGATCGGTAGTGCACTTTCCGGCAACTTTGATTAAGATGGGAGCCTTGATGATGTCACTCCCATCCCACTTTGGAAATGGAGTCATTAGCTGAAGCCTGTTACTATGCGGGTCAACGCTGATTTTGATTTTAGAACGGTTGGCAGATGGCTGCTGGTAGGTGTCCTGGCCATGATCATATCCCTTTGCTGGAAGCTCTTCGCCTTTCGGTGCAACAAACTTAAATAACTCCCCAGAAGCCCCCTTCAGCTCATCAGTCATCGGATTGAATGTGAGATCGCCAGAAAATGCATAGGCAGTTACGATCTAATTTTGATAGCTACAACTTCCACCAAAGTACCTCGGGAGATGTGACAAAGGAATGCGTGCCAGGGTTTCCGTCATTTCTGCCGGTAAAGTTTCTGTTGTAAGAGGTAACGATGGTATTCTTTTCTCCTTTCTCAACGTCATGTCTCTTCCACTGACCGATGCATGGACCGCAGGCATTCGCCAAAACGGTAGCACCAACCTTGTTAAAAATATCGATGATGCCGTCTCTTTCCATAGTGGCCCTAATTTGCTCGGAACCCGGTGTGACCGTAAAGGGGGTTTTCACCTTCAGACCTAAGGGAGGTCAAATCGCATCAAATACCATGATCAAGGGCTTGCTTTGCAAGGTTGGCAGATCTAGTCATATCTTCATAGCTGCTGTTGGTACAGCTTCCGATCAGATTAACTGATATGGCTTTCGGCCATCCATTATGAGTTGCTGCCTTTTTCATTTGAGAAATGGGCGTCGCCAGGTCAGGGGTAAACGGCCCATTTACATGCGGCTCCAGTTCAGATAAATTGATCTCAATAACACGATCGTATTCCACACCAAGATCTGCAATGAAATGCCTTGAATATTTTGCAGCAGCTTCCGCAACCCCTACAACGGTAATCACTGTAAGATGGCATACCAGCTCTTCTGGTTGCTTTCAAATAGTTTGCCATTCTCACATTAAATGGAAAAAGAGATGTTGTTGCGCCAATTTCAGCACCCATATTACAAATGGTAGCCATTCCGGTGCACGAGATCGATTCAACGCCAGGGCCAAAATATTCTACAATGGCCCCGGTTCCTCCCTTGACAGTCAATATGCCGGCCAATTTGCAAATAACATCTAGGATGAAAATGCAAGGGGCACAATGTGATACCTTTGGGAGAGGTCCAGCCGCTAAGCTTTCCAGTTAGTTTGACGCCAATAATATTGGGGCACTTTAGCTCCCATGGAATGTTGGCCATCACATCGACGGCATCGGCACCTCCAACGCCAATCGCAACCATGCCAAGACCGCCAGCGTTTGGAGTGTGGCTGTCTGCGCCAATCATAAGCCCTCCGGGAAAGGCGTAGTTCTCGAGCACAATTTGATGAATTATGCCGGATCCTGGCTTCCAGAAGCCAAGATTATATTTAGATGTCACAGAAGACAGAAAATCGAACACTTCCATATTTTTCTCCTTTGCAACGGCAAGATCCTTAACTCCACCGACTTCAGCCTCTATTAAATGGTCGCAGTGGACGGTGGTTGGGACGGCTGCAGTTTCCAGCCCAGCAGACATGAATTGTAACAAGGCCATCTAAAAGGATAAGTTTTTCATAGCAACTTGAGCCGTGGCATCTTGAAGGGCAACGCGATCAGGTCTGAGTCTAAGGTAGGATTTTCCCCTGCCAATGTCTTGCTCCAGCGGATTATCCAAATGGCCATAAACAATTTTCTCTGCAAGAGATAATGGGCGTCCAAGACTAAATGGTGAAATTACAAATTGTGCAATCACTACCGGTCTTTTACAATTTGTATGTTTCTATCAAGCAAGGAGTAGTTGATGAAGCTATTTGGCTCCAAGTAGCTCATTGGCACTTTTGAGGTAGAAAATCCTCGGCATCCATAGGCGTTTGGACACTTCTATAGGGTAAATGACAAGGACAATATACGTTCGGAAATCTAGACAATGTCTTTTGAAGAAGTTGCATCGAGTCAAATTTACAAACCTGATCAGAATTTAAGCTGCAATTTGTGCAATTCAACTTTACCGGCTTGGGAAATTAATTTAACAAAATGGAAATTACAAAATCGTCGTTCAAAAGGGTTTTTCCACTAGTCGAGGAGGTGATTCGACGTTGCACATTCATATCGATTGATGGCGAGTATTCCGGTCTTTATACAAACAAAAGCAAATCAATTGCGATGGCAGATGATATGCAGCAGCGCTATGAAAAAATCCGAGATTCATCGCAAGCATTTTCATTTTTGCAATTTGGCATGACCGCGTTTACTTGGGATCCATCAACGTCTTCGTTTGATGTTAAGCCATTTTCGTTTTATTTGTTCTCAGACCCCTCTAAGCTCCTTGGGCTTGACAGGCGATTTAGCTTTCAAGCGTCGAGCGCTTCTTTTTTGGCCGACTTTCATTTTAATTTTAACAAAGTGTTCCACGAAGGCATTCAGTTCCTCAATCGATCCGAGGAAAATAACTTTAGACAAAGAAGCGCAGAGCCTACAAGCCAAAATCCAAATGTTTTGGTGCCCCCTGAACATGCGGAATTCGTGAACTCGAACATGTCAAACATCGAGTCTTGGATAACATCGGAGTCCTCTATGAGCCTTGAGCTTCCAAAAATGAATTCATTTCGGCGATTATTAATGTACCAGCAAATAAGGACAAAGTAGAGCTCTTTTTTTAATGCTAGATATAACGACCAGGTGGTGGTCGTTAGGGGCACTGACGACAATACCGGATCGATTTCGTTGCTTGTTAAAAGGTTTTCAACCGCGGAAGACAAAGACAGCTTTAACGCTTCCGAAAAAGAGCGTATCGAGGTACTTGTTTTCTACTAGTAACTTAGAAAGAGCTGGAAGATATGGTAGGGTTTAGGAAAGTAATTGATTCAGTTATTGAGCACAAAAAGCCCATCATCGCTCATAATTCAATGCTCGATATTTTTCACCTTTATTCTCAATTCGTGGATCGCTTGCCTGAGGATGTTTCTCTTGGCAAGAAAATGATTTCCTCTGTCTTTCCGACAATACTGGATACAAAATTAATTTCAAGGGATCCGATGCTACTGGTATGCCGTTTATTTACCTGCTTTTGTAGCCAATTTTTCAGGAGTGTCATCTTGGCGAAATGTTTGGCTTGCTTCAGACACCGCCACTTTCCACGGTCCATTTGAAACTCTGCTATTCGGCCGAATTTGAACAATATTCCTATGAGACGGGTGAATCCAAATTCCATGATGCTGGATACGATTCCTATTGCACGGGCGTTGTCTTTTTGAAAATGATCAAGTATATGCATGGGCTTGAATCGGCCAATGAGACTGCCCTTGTGGATGATGGTAAGATTTGTCAGCATGCTCTATCCGGTGATTTTTACTATGCCAACAAGCTTAATATGATGAAGTCCGGTATGAAGCATTTCAACCTGTCAGGACCGGAAGGTAAACGTTGGTCCTTCATTTTTAGATGCGTCTGACAGAACGCAAAGTATATTTGGACATCTTGCAACGCAAGCATCGACAAGCACAGGTGAAAATGTTAGCGTTGACACTCATTTTAGATATTCCAAACACCTCAAATTTGGTTGTTGTCACCTTTGATCAGAAGCATGACGAAGACAAGATCAACTCGATTTTCAGTCCCTTCGGGAGCTTTGCCATCCATCCTTTGAATGATGCCGCAGTGATATTGGAATTTCAAGACATGGACGAATCGTTTGCACGCGTTTTCGATTCATTTAACGATTCGGAAAGCTTGACCGTACAGACCTACGAAAGCTTTACGGCACAGACATACAGCCCTCCATCCAAAAAGCGGCGTTCGTAATACAATAAATTTCAACTATTTAATCAGATAGCATTCACTTCTTTTCTTCAGGAATATGGCCGCCCATTGTCCCGGCAATTTTCTCCCTAATGTTGTGAACCCCCTCCTTTAGCCTCTCAGATATGGAGTGTGCCTCTCTTAAAATTAAAATATACAATTACTCTCTTCCCTTCTTTGCTTCTTCCTCCACACCGGACATCTTTTCTCCGCCCGCTTGCTTCAACTGCTCGGTTCGCTCCTTGAGATATTCCTCTGATTGGCTAGCCTTTTCAGCCGTTTTTTCCTTTCCTTCCGAAGCTCGCTGAGAAACATCAGGCATGGAGCCCTTGACCTTTTCAGCAATGTCAGACGTCTTTTCTTTCATCTTTTCGGGCACAGAGCTTTCAGACTCCATCCCAAAAGCATGCTTCATTTTATCCGTTGCCTCTGAAATGGTTCCTGAAATACGAGATGACATCTCAGAAAGCACAGATTCACCCTTTTGAACACTCTGCTCGGACTTTGTTTTTTGTTCTTTAGATAAAGACTCCAACTTTTTGGAGGCCTCTTGTCCTGGAACTGTAAGAATAAACTAAACTGACCAATCTCAGACATTTTCTCTGGTGGTATTTGTCTACCTTCTGTTGTTGACATGGTGCGTAAAGAGAATCTTATGATAGACCACGTGATGCGGCATCCGAAACAGCAGGGATATAATAACAACAACGACAAGGTTTAGTTTCAATATTTTGATCAAACTTTAAAAATAGTAAAAACGACAACAGCAGGATTTGAACCTACGCGGGCGAAGCCCAATTGATTTCGAGTCAATCTCCTTAACCACTCGGACATGTTGTCATCTCTTTTCCGTTCAAAGAAAAGATGAAGTTTTAATAAATTTTGTGCAGTTAATTCATCTGGCAAAATCGGGTCTCCTGTTTATCTTCTAGATTACCTTGACTAGCCCCAAATCGGTATTAAAATCGTATTTTTAAGGCCACATCAAAAACACGAGAAGCTTATAAATCGCATGATCGAAATAGATTCCCCAGGAAGAAAAGAGTTTTATTTGGAGGAATTAAAAGCGCAGGCAGCAAAAAGCAACAGCAAAAAGCAACAGCAAAAAGCAACAGCAAAAAGCAACTAGTTAGATGTTAATGCTGGCATGCTTGTTGTCTCGAGCTTTCCTGCACTTTAATTATTCAAAAATTGCTGTTAGTAATTTATGATACAGAAGAACACAAGGCTATCCTTAAACATCGAGGCAAAGCTGTCAGGGGCCATATGTATGGTCGGTAAATTCAGTGCTTTACCTCTTTCTCATGTACATGCCCACGCCCACGCCCACATGGCATTTTGATAAGGATATCAAAGATAGGCCAATTTACACAAAGTTGAAGGTGTCCTTAGGTAGTCCCCATATCACAGGTGCAGCGCCAACGGCCCATTGCAAGATACATGATGATCTAGCTTTTGAAACAGCTTGAACCAGGCTTAAAACACCATTGGGAATGCATGGAGAGATTCCTGGTATTTTCAAGAGCCCCCAATTTGCCAGTGCTGTGAGGGCAAATCGATCAATGTCTTTATCGGTGACGTCCCATAAGTTTCCCACAACGACGTCGCTAGTTGAATTAAAATCACGATGCTTTTACCTTCCGGCAAGTAAATAATCGACTGGCGTTGATGTCGGCTCGAACAGCCCATACTTTTTTGTAGCCGCCGAGGAACAACCCATAAGGAATACATATGAAGGGACAATCATTTGAGACAGTGAAGTGATGTCTCTTCTGCAATATCTTTCGCCGCTCCCATGTCCAAAGTATAAAAAAATGTCGGATGACGCCAAGTCAGCCTTTTCCATAGCATCGGGCTCTCTTCCAATAATACCCTTCCAATGGGAGTTATTGAGGAGAAAAGAAGACAAGCGGTCTTCCGTTGCCCTTAAAGAGCCGTCTGGATTCAGCAAATACGAAATGGATGGTGTCGAGATTTTTTTACCAGAGCCAATCAGGGCTCTAGAAACAGAAGCCAAGGAGGGCATTCTGATAACTGGCTTTGATGACAAAAAAGGGGTTGACTCAAAGGGATATTCAAGAAGAAATTCGTCTAGGATTAGAATTATCAATTTGTTCGACGCATTCATTGACAACGCTTCCTTCTTGATATCACGATCAAGAAATCTTTGAAGAGCCCCGACAAAAAGCAGAGTGTCCTTAACAGATATGTTGAAATATTTACAAAAGTCTTTCAACAAGTAGGGAAGATATGAGGAGTTTCTCTGAAAATCAATGCTTGACAAAATGCCAATAAGCACCTTCAATTGAAATTCCGATATAAAAAGATCAATGTTTTCTAAAAGCTGGCGTAAAGGTTCGAGATCCACATCACTATAGGAAAATGTGGGGAGTAAGAAGGGAAATATTCCAAATACCAATATAGAGAAATCAGCGAGCCAAGAGAAAATCTTGGCATTCAATTGCTGCCTAGCTATCCACCATTCGCCAGACGAAAAAGAAGCAGAAGGATGCGTATTGATGGGGTCTGACATTGAGCAACTAGAACCCACAGCTGAACTCCGATTTTCCTTCATGAGGGACTTCCATGTGTCAAATGCATTGTCAAGAGAAAAGTGAGGAGAAATAAGATCGCCAAAATCGTTTATTCCCAACCCATAGTCCCCATTTTCCCTCTTAAACGTCAGCAAGGGTGTAAGATTTTCAAGATCCAAAGATTTTTTCGTCTCATAAAGCGACAAGATCACATCAGAGGTCTGGGTAGATTTTATCATGATCACAAAAAACTCGTCCTTACTTTGACTGTCCAAATACAAAGCCGAAGATTTGCCCACATTACGCTCTACATTGCTATACAATAAAGAATATGAACGCTCAATGCCAAGCCCAATGTAATAGCTCGAGAGTCTGACCACATTGAACTGATAATTGAAGATAAATTTTGAGGCCTCCCTGACCAAAAAAGTACTGGAGCTATTAAAAGCCGATAGCAAATGCTCAATAGAAAAAGGCAAGGCGATCGAAGTGTTCTCGGAAAGATAATATTTCAGCATTGCAACTGTATAAATGCAATTATCATCCGACGAAGTCTGATGTAATGCATCTAATGGGGCTAGTGAAGTACCCGATAAAGAATGCCCATTAAATACGTACCCAATACAATTCAAAAGACGTAAAAAGCTGGCTGGTTTTATGGTCAAGTCTAAATAGTCTGAATTTGTGGAAAACAAATTTAACAGAACACAGAATCTGAAAT